ACTCAGCTAAAGCTGATTACATTTTAGAGCTGGATATTCATTATTGTAAACAACACACTGACAAACGTGTCCACTAAAATTATGAAAATGATGATAGTAGCTGACTGAGCAAGGATTCTATACAGTTTTACAATAGTGCTCATCACGATAGAAAGCTCATCATCTAATAAACCATCTTGTTAGTCTTTAAAGTGCTACATTGTCCTGTATTAATCAGTGCGACTACACATCCTCTTGTTCTGCTTTATGTTTTGAGGGTGTGATTTTTGCTTGATTTTTTTGTTTTTGAAATATAAATATACATGCTGCTATATATTTATGTAAGAGAAGGTTGTGTAAAAAAGTGCCTTGCCCTTGGAATGGAAAGTGGTGAGATTTGTGGTAGCCTGCAATTTCTGGGGGAGATCATTCCACGGTCTTAAGGAAGTTCTGTCTCCTGCTCAGCTAAATATTATCCTTAAAGTAGATAATTCTGCTGTGCCCAATGATTGAAGTTATTAACTGTGATCTTCATCCTGAAGCTTATGTGTTTGTTTTGATGTCCTGGACATGGAATGACTTGGAGGTAAGGACTGAGACTTTGAACTCGATTTGAAATTCCTTGAGAAACCAAGATAGAGCTTTTAGGAGAGGTCTGGTACTCTGGAGTGCCTGATACCCTGTGATGCTGAGGAGAGGTGCAGGAGATAATTGAAATTTCCTAAACACTGAAGGCTTCATGCCCAGTTATGCTGCATTACTGTAGGAGTTTCTAGAAATATCAAACACAAATCACTGTGATGTTTGAGTAAGCAGTAATATATTTCTGCTTAGATCTCACATCCTGAGCAAAAAGCTAGGAAAGGTATTTGTTCCATACAAATACCAGATGATCTGCATGAAATATTAATTAATCACAACCACAATACCAGAATAGCAACAATTGCTTAAGCACACCACTTTCCCTTTGTATATGTGACAAATGTTCTCCTCTAGAAAAGAGACCCTTGGAAGATTGCTTGGGATATCCCTCTGGAGACTGGTGCAACTAGCCACTGAGTGTCACTGTTATAACACAGATGGACTTGGCAAATTGTATTTATCTAGCAGATAAAAATATGTATAACATCGAAGAAGGCAGTTTGTATGTGAACCTTTCACAAAGCTCATGACAATGATCCATCCACTTATAAACCCTCAGTTATGATGCAATGTTGCAAAATGGAAATGATCCATATCCTGTTTATTAGAGTGCATCTAAATGATAACTCAGTGTTCTATGTTTTGTAGATTGTGCTACTTAGCATTTAGTTACATTCCTTCTCCACCATTATGACAAAAGTTAGCAATGCTTAGTCCTGGGAGAATTCTGCAAATAATGCATTTGAAGCCATTGTAAAATTGCAGAATTCTCCCAGAACTAAATACTCCAGCTTGATTCTATCAAGTAATTCTCTTATGCTGAAGTATTTTCAGAAACAAGTGTACTGTGTATGTGCCTTTACAGTATTAAAGTAGATTTTTTTAAAGAGACTTGGCTGACAGAACTAAAAAAGATATAAAAATGGCAGGTTAGTATAAACAATTTGAGCTATCTTTTTATTATAAAACAAAGTCTAAAAGAACAAATGCAAAGCTCAAGGTAAAAGGTGAAGCTTTTTAATGCATTAACAAGAATTAATGAAGACTCTTTGTCCAAGGAAATAACATAATTACATCTTCCACCTCTCTGTTATAAATTTACCTTGCCTCACTAGCGAGAAGAAAGTAAAGTGATTTTTTTTCCAACAATATAAAGAGAAGTCAATGAAAGCTAATGATAGTTTTCAACATTGCAAACTCTCAGGAGTGTATTTTCAAATATTGGAATTGGAAGTAGGAGAGCTTTGAGAACCTCTCCAGGAGAACTTAGACTCACGTGAAATCACCCCCACAATAAATACAATAAAATATGATAGCATAACCTCGACAGTGGTTCAGTCCAGTTTGTACCATATTCAGTTTGTTACTGTTAGGTAAGAAATTTTTTAACCCCTTTGTTTCCCTCACTGGACTTCTCTCAGAAGATTTGAGACTAACAATTCTTGATGTATGGTAGTAACTTTCCTTTCCAACAGCCTCATTCTTCACATAGGAAAAAACACGCTTTGTTTAAGATGGGGCAAGTGGAAATGAAGAAATGCTATTCCCACACAATGCCAAGCCTGCAACTTTAAACTGTAATATTAAGCTTTCTCTGGTACAGTGTAGACAGAAATCCTTTTTGTTTTTAAACTGAAAGTTTGCATCCATTAGCTTCAAGGTTCATAATTAGTGTTTAGGCCAAACAAAGAGTCAATATGATGTCATGTCTAGACAACATGTAAATTAATATGAAAGCAATTGAGTTACAAATTCTATACTAATACAAATTAATCTGAATTAAGTTTAATCCACAGTTATTAACTGATTAAATGTGGCTGTTGGTAGCTACAGGGTGCTGACTTCCATCTGTGATTATTAGGGGCACAGCTTAATCACTGATTTTCTACTGAAAAATATTTAAAGCAAATGTCATATACACTGACTCTTTATGCTTGTTCACTGAAAGGAACATCTATGAATGCAAATCTGAAATCTACATTTTTAAAAATATGTAGAAAGCTTTTCTTGAATTTCATAATTAGCTTTTGGTTAGAGGGCTGCTTAGTTCTTCTTGTGTTGACTCTGCCTTGCTTGCCATCCTCCTTTTGAGTTGCATGCATCTATTCTAAATAAATTCTCTGCTGCTCTGAACACTTAAAAATAGTAGCATAAAAATCCATATCCTTCCATTATTATTATTGAAAATACATGAAACCTGTTGCCAAAAGTAAGCAGGTATATGTGTGACATAGATCCCACTCAGCTAAAGCTGATTACATTTTAGAGCTGGATATTCATTATTGTAAACAACACACTGACAAACGTGTCCACTAAAATTATGAAAATGATGATAGTAGCTGACTGAGCAAGGGCATGAGCAAAATATATTCAGTACTGGCAGAAAAATAAAATTTATCCTTCAAAGCAATATGCTCAACATATTATGAATAGTATGTAGAGTGTGTTGTTTGGAAAGGTAAATTTTATTTTTCTGCCAATAGCACATATAATAAATATTGGCAGGAAAAATAAAATTTACCTTTACAAGAAACATACTATTCATAATATTTGCTATTACTATTTACTATTCCATATTTTTAGAACAGTAATAAATAGATTTATAAAAAAATTAAAAATCATAATAAAGAAATAAACCTTAGTTTTCTTGCATATAGATCTTGCATGATTTACCAGCAAGTCAAAACCCTAACAAGTCAGATTCAGGTTTTCTTTTTAATTAAAAACAACTATAAATGTTATGAAAGTATCCTCTTCTTCCTTTTTGACTGAGAACAGCTACCTAACTTGTAAGAAAACTCTCTCAAAGTTTTTTTCCCCAAAGCTTTGGAATCTATTATGAATCTATCAAATAGTAGATATAGCTGATAATTACATAGTATGTGATATCAAAACCAGGGTCATTGTATTGTATAGACTCTTTAATAGACATCCTACTCATTGCCATAATAACAGAAGCTGTCATGACAGTGGACTGTGCCTAGCATGAAGCCCTAAACAATTCTGACAAGCTGCAGCTCATTAAGGGACAGTCATTTTGTTGAAATGTCTATCAGCTCTTAGGGATGTACCAAGATGAATAGACCCAAAACAATAGCCCCATTTGTTAGAGCAGTAGCTTCTCTAATACATGATGAGACAATCAAGCCAAGCTGCCTTCAGCACAAAGACATAATTAATCAAATGGACAAATGGTTCAAAAATTGCTCTAGTATGTTCTGTAGTGGACAGAGGTTTCCATGGCAACATTGGCGTTTGCGTCACACTTAATGACCATTCTGTACAATGAAGTTCTTAAAAAAAAAAAGCCATGAAAAAAATCAAAATAAATAAATAAAGAGCAAGTGGTAGCTTTAAGAGGCATAGATCCCCGATACTAGAGAAATTAATGACTGTATTTTCATAGACTCATAGATTTTAATTCTAGCCTGCATGCCTGCATAATGCAAGGCAAAGAACTTCATCTAGTAAACTCGATATCAAGCTTATATCCTCAGTTTGAGCTAGGGTGTATCTTTCAGAAAGACATCTAGGCTTATAGTCTTTAAGGTCATAGAATCACAGCATTTGAAGTTTTTAAATCATGTCCCTTGGAATGTTTTTCAAGTGGTTAATTATAGACACTGTTAAACCTTAGTTCTAGTCTGAATATTTTCAGCTTTAGCTTGCAACCACTGGATCTCATTATAACTAACTTTTGCTGTAGTCACTAGGCATGACAGCCTATGCTCTGGCCTCTGACATGGCTAATACACATCTTACACCTATGTAGAGATGTGAGGGATTTTTTTTTGGCTTTTTAGCCCATAAAAACAATTGAAAACTGTTTCAGGTCAACTGAAAACCATTGTTTTTTGGTGTGCTTGAGAAATTTTCAATGAACCAAAAAGTTTTAAACAAAATTGTTTCCAGTCAAACAAAACTATTAATTTGACACCCCTCCCATAAAACCTATCTCATATTGTTTTTTTAAAAAATATTTTACAAATATATTTTTTAAAAAGTTGAAGCAACCATTTAAACCTTATTTTGAAATGGGGGGGGGGGGGGGGGGGATTTTAAAAAATCCTTTTACTGAAACACATTAGGCAAATTTGAAATGAATTCATTCCATGTTTCACTAACCTGAAACTGCATTTTTTTGGGGGAGAAAATAGTTTCATAAAAAAAATTCACCCAGCTCTATGCTCATCCACAACAAAATCAGAGTTTGGCCCAAAGTAACATGCCCATGGTTATGCAGAAAATCAGCGGCAAAGCTGGATCTTATGACTTTCAGCAATATTCTTTAACCACAGAATCATCTGACTCTTCTAGAACAATAGCCCTCTGCATGTACAGTTATGTGATTATTTATTTTTTGTGATTTATTTTCACAGCAAATGAAGCATCATCAGTGGATACTGAACATCCATGAAAACATCCCTTTATGGATAAGAACAGATCTGTAAGTTTTTTTAAGTTAAATGTAGATAAGTCTCATGTAAACCAAAGAACGAATGTAAGAATAGAATTCTGAAGCTGTTAGCTTTTTCAGTTTGAAAACATTTTGTACTGAAAAATGTGTTAGAAGAAAGACAACTCCTCTGTAGTTATCATTTTCAATAGCTATTTGATACATGGGCAACTGAATTCCTCAGCGTTCCCATTAATATGTTGTCTGTGGCTTTGTCAATAGCTGAGAATAATGCAGCGTTCCTCAAATGATTACAAATTAAAATATAAGGAAAGATAGACTCCAGCATTTAGTGAATGTTTATGCCAATTTTTTCAAAGATATTCATTAATGTCAGGGTCTCAACTTGAGACACCTGTGAATGTTTCTGCCTTTATACCACAGTTGGGTTATTCTTTCTTACTTAAACTGGATAATATAGCTTTACTTTTTTGGATAATTTTTCCGATCTTTTCCTTTTTTACTTTCACTTCTAGCTTACCCTCCAGCTGGACATGGCTCCTACTTTAGCGCATCACCACTCCCCGCAGATCTGTAAGTTGTTTTCCTAATATTTCAACATCTTGCGATTTCTATAACTTGGGACCTGAATTTTCATGCTTGTATTGATTTCAAGGATGCCGTATTAGCTACCAAACTGAGTACTAGGTGCTAGCATGAACAAAAGAATCACAAGGGTTAGGTAAGTAGATTTTGTATGAAATGCTGTAAGTCCTGAGGTCTGTGAATAGACATAATGAGTGTTATATGGGTGCCGCTGTTGCGTTATGGCAACAAAAGTATTTCTACTGGGGAGGAAAAACAGTGCAACATTTCTTGGGCCAAACCATGAAGTCTACTCAATCCATTCCCATTATTGAAGCTGTTATCTGAAATCATGACCAGATTTAAATATTATGCTGCACTCATGCAATTCTTTCTAGAATTTTGTAAATGTGTTCTTGATTTTATATAGATAGAACCAAGGCAAATTGATCTTTATTAGGAAGAGCCAGATAATACTTAGTTTACTTGAATGACTTCAACTTCAAGGTATAGTCTCATCTCACTGTGTGCCAAATGGAAATCACATGTCCTGCAATAACATAGCCCTGCCATAGCTAGGATTTTCTTTCAAATAAATGACAACATTGAACATTTTCTCCCCTTTGTTTTTCAAAGAATTCCCATAAAAGCAGATTCAATTTTTTTTAACACTCACGAGATTTCTGCTTTACAGAAGCCGAATATCTGAATATAAACTGTCTGAAGCTTTTATATATTTTCATATAACCGCAAAACGGGTGTATGCCTATGATTGTGTAAATTATATATGCAATAATGCAGTGAAGGTTCATTATTTAACCTTGAGTTTTACTTTCATTGTACATTGATCATATTTTTGTGTGCTTAATCGGGTAACATTTTTTAATAGGACTATTTTTTGCTTTTTTTTCAAGTGAGGAGAACAGTAGACTGCTCTGAGAAGTCAAAATTCAGCAATCTCTGCCTACATATTTAACTCTGAACTACCTTTCACACGTACTCTGCAAAAGTCCTTATTTATCATGTCCCAGGTTAGCCATTACATTTTCATCTTTTATGGTCTTCCTAATTTCCTGCTTGCTAAACTTCAGGGGGTCTAGAATTCTGTGACTGGACTACTCATACACTCCAGGAGATATGACACACTCACCCTCATCCTTTGTCACCTTGATTGGATTTTTATTCATTTCCGAAGCCAATTCAAAATTGCCCTCTTCAAAACTCTCTATGAATTTACAGCACTCTACCACACTTCTCTGACCTCCTCTCCTGCCAACTCTCTCCATTCTTCTAATCTTGATCTCCTGTTTTGTATTTTTTATGTGACTCTCTAAGGTGGTGTGTCACTCTTTTACTTCTGCCTTCACATATTTGGAGTCACTACCTTTCTTCAAACTGCATGTCAAATGCCCTGCAAGCTGGCTTCACAGTAGTGCTTTACTGACCTGATGACTTTCTCTGGTCATTTTCGTTCACCAGTTCTCGGTGTGATGTCATTTGCATCATAATGGTATAATGCAAACCCCATAATCCAGAAGAGCCCTTATTCAGGAACTCCACTCCCAGATTCAGGTTTGCTCAATGTTATAAATGGAACCAAATCTCCAGTTTGGCTTCTGTATGTCTGTAAATGTTCTTGTTTTGACAAGCTAGAGTCAGTCCTGGACTAAGACAATGCATCACTCTATGCACACCACAGGCTGCATTTCTCCCTGCCACAAAGTTGCCCATGTGCCCTGCTGTGGTAAATTGAGGAGACCTCACTTCCCTCCCAAAAAGGAAGGGCAAAGTTTGAAATCCCCTCATTGACTGATAAGAGCAGCATAGGTCTCCAGTTACCCTCGTCCTAGGAGGCAGGGGAGGGGGCAGCAAGGAGAGCCCCTATTTTCCCCACCAACAAAGATGCAGATAGATGAGTGTGTAGCTGGGCTTGCTTCACTCATCTCTTGTCCAGAGCCTTCTGGTGAGGTGCCAGGTGGCTGGTCCTCTGAGCAGTGGGTCTTGGAGATAATACTCAATGTATGTGACTTGAGCACATCATATTTCTTGAACTGTTGTTTTAAGCAGCCAACAAGAGCCAAGGTATGTCTATGCTGGAAGTGAAGGTATGATTGTAGTACAGAAAGATGGCAGCTCTTCTCAAAATAGCATAGGTAACATCACTATAGGAGGCAAAGCAATGAAGCTTTGGCACAGATGAACAAACACAGTAAGCATCCAGTACTTTGGATGCTATCTTTGTGCTGAAACTTGTGCTGTCTATGCTGCTATTGTTACCCATGTTAGCTAAACTAAAGCTAGCATAACTATGCCTATCTGTATTATACTCACCTAGCCTCTGGCTGAGGTATTTGGCTAAATTACACATTTTCAAGCTTTCTCTTCTCAACGTGGGGCCTAGAATTCTACTTTTTTAATTAAAAAAAATCCCAAAACCAAAAAGAGATGAGGTTCTGAATTCAGGCTATGTCTAGACTGCAAGCCTCTTTCGAAAGAGAGCGTCTAGACTGCACGGAGAAATTTCGAAAAAGCAGCTTGCTTTTTCGAAAGAAAGCATCCAGTGAGTCTGGATGCTCTCTTTCGAAGAAGCCCTATTTACATTGAAGAACGCCTTCTTTCGAAAGAGGAACTTTCGAAAGAAGGCGTTCTTCCTCGTAAATTGAGGTTTACCGCCATCGAAAGAAAAGCCGCGTTCTTTCGAATTAATTTCGAAAGAACGCGGCTTGAGTCTGGACGCAGGGGAAGTTTTTTCGGGAAAAGGCTACCCCTGAGTCTGGACACAGCCCATATGATTCTAATACCTTGCCTTTAAATACAAGCCTATCCCAGATGTGCCTTAGTCAAGCTCTCCCTACAGGAACTTGTATGGTGTGACAGGAAGGATGGGATTTGAGTTTCACACTGAAAAATTTTACTTTCTTTTCAAGGTAAACTTTCTTTTTCTGCATTGCTATCTTGGCTGCCTGAGTTTGACTGCCATATAAATGACTTGAAGTGTGTGTTTAATATCTGTTATACATGATTTTCCAAGTGCATTTTACCTTTTATGCTATAATAGTTTGATAGTTTTTAATTGTTTTGAATAAATACTGTGGTTTTTAGTGTTGAACTCTTTTCACATCTTGTGTGTCTGTGAATGCATTATACTCTAACAAGTGAATGCTTTCTGTCTCTAAATGTCAGCTATTTACAGCTGGAATGTCAAGGCTGAAACTCTCTGAATTTATTAGTACAATGGAGCTGAAGGGGGAATGAAACAGCTTTCTTTGTAACCAGAGGAACTGTTGAATAGCAGGTACATAGTGTAAGTGTTGGATTTTGGTTTGCTGGGTGATTAACTCTTTGTGATTCAAGTGATTAGCAGTCTAGTACTGCTCCCCAAAAAGTCAGTTTTACCACTGACTGTAGGGGGGGCAGGAGCATCACTCAATGTTTTGGAAACACGATATGAACCTAAACAGGGCAAAAGCCTTCTTTTAAAAGTTGGTTATTCCCTTGCCTTCCACTCTCACGCCTGCCTCCCAAACACGTCACATCTCCCTGATAATCAACTATCATAACATTCAACATTATTTGGCTTCAACGTAAATGGGAAGCAAATATGGGACTAAATATTCATGACTGAGCACCTGAAAAAATATGCATGAAATCACTACAAACACAAAAAGCTTGTTCTATTGGCCACATTTTAAATAGTAGCTGGGTGCCTTGTTATCCGACTTGGCCACACAAGCTGTCTACAAACTATTTTGTCCCCATATCAAGGTTTAGATATAATGTTCAGTGCCTCTATAATCATTACTTCAGGTTCTTCCTCTCCATGACAGTCTGCCCTATTAACTCAAAGTTCCAAGATAAAATAAGTGTGCAAATATACAGCAAGAGTCCAATTCAAAGGCTAATGGAGTCAAGGGAATGTGTCCCAGGTGTATCTGAATGCTTTAGTATGGGACCCAATAAGCACAGACTGAGCCTCAAGCAGAAAATATGTGATTATAGTCAGCAGCTTAAAACCTGCACTCCCTAATTCTAAGTATTTATGTCAAGAGCCCGTTCTTTATGCATTTAAGGGAAAATATTGTCTGTTATAACAATAATGCACCTGAGCAGTTATGTACTCTATACTTCTTAGCTGGAAATCACAAAGTTTTACTAAGATAGCTATTAAAATTGGAACTAGCACATGATTTTGACCAAGAATTAAAAAAAAAAACTTGAAAGAACTCTTAACTTCCAACTAGTACCAGTGAGTATCCTTGTGATGCTGCACTCATATTTTTATGGAAAGGTTTCTGAATATGCATAACTTGCATATGCTTTATGCAAAAGAGCAAATAACCTATCATTTGAGAGCCTGTGATTCCCTGAATATGTATATTCTATTTGTGTGCATATATCCTTGTATGTGAAATTAGAAAATGTCATACTCAAGGGCTTAATGACCCAGTGCTAAAGACAAAAGTCTGTGAATGGTTCTGTTTTTCCTGTAAGCCCAAGACATGTGACCATGCCAGCTAGTACTGGAATCCATCTTGAATCTGGTATTTTCTCATCAGGATGGGAGGGTGAAAAAAAGAGTTACTGCCCTGAGATAATACTATTTAAGGAATGGATATCAATCAACATTGTCTTTAGCTTGTCTTTTTTGAAAACTGCCTTCCCACCCCAGGAGTATGTTCAAGAAACTGTTAGACCCAGGCCAGAGAAAAGATTAGCTATGGCTTCAAGGTATTTATCTGAAACAAGCAGAAGTGAGAAATATTCTAAGTTTCTAAATTTTGGTTTTAATTGGTGTATTTGGTTTTAGCTTAGTAACTTCATTTGATCTATCTATTTTCACATGTACTCACTTAAATCCTACTTTTAATTATCTAACGCAGTGTAAATAATTGTTGCCTGTGGGGGGAGCCATAGGCGTGCATATCTCTCTTTCATTATGAAATATCTTTATGACTCTTTTTTATAGAATAAGACGGATTTATTTGGAATTTTGGTCCCTTTTCAGGGCTGTGTTCCTGGAAGCTGGCAAGTCTCTGTAGCTAAGCTGGTTCAGCATCTGTATGGCTGTGCTTGGGATTTGTTACTCCCCAACTCTGTGTGTCCTGCCTGGGGGAAACCAGACCTTCTGGCTCAATAAGGGTGGTGGAGTGCCCCAGAGGACTGCAAAGGGGCTTAGTAGTATGATAAGCCCAATGGGTGACAGCCTCACCCAATTCATGGAAAGACATGCCATGGGCCATGAAATCTGGTGTTCTCCCTTCTCCTCCCTTCCCCCATTGAAATCTGGCCTCTTGTGTATTTTTACCCTATCCTACAGAGATCTCATTGGCGAGACCAGGGCATTGCAGGGGAATAAGCCATTTTTACTTCTGCACTGCCTTCAGAAATCGATTGCCAGAGAATGGTGGCTGCTGGCCAAGTGCCCAGCTCTGAAGGCAGCACCCTGCTTAGGGTTGCCAACCCTCCTAGTTTAACCTGAAGTCTCCAGGAATTAAAGATTGATCTTTAATTAAAGATTATGTCATGTGATATCTCCAGGAACTTCCAAACAAAATTGGCCAATAATGAATCAAAAAATGGAGTAACGTTTTTTGAGGAGTAACATTAGTTCAATCCAAGGGGTTTGGTTCTAACTAACGCGTCCCAGCATGCACTTCCTGGTTTGAATCAGCTGTGATTTGAACTAGCGCGTCGGCGAGATCATGCTAATGAAGCACGGGATATTTAAATCCCTGCTTCATTAGCAATTTCAAATGCCTGCATTCACATCCCTAGTTAGAACTAGGGTGCAAGTGTAGATATACCCTTAGGTGACAGGACTGTTCATTTTTAAAGTTACAGTATAACATGACTGAGACTTATATTAGGACAGTCTAGTAATCTAAAAAAACCCTAATAAATTGAATTCTGGAAAAAGTCATCTTTGGACAAACTGTGTTTGACTGTTTTTTATATTTCATTTTGAAAAGTTGTTTTGAAAAAAATTCTATTCTGAAAATGTTTAAACAGAAAGTGTCAGGATTATCAAAATACATCACTGTGGCTAACTTTGTGAAGAAAATATTGTCAAGAAAATATTGTCAATCAATGTTTGTAAAAATATTTTGAATTTGATTGTCAGAATAAAAATACATTTTTGTCAAAGATTTCCAATCGGCTCTAGATATGGGATAATTTAGTAAAGAATTAATGTTGGTAACATAATTAATGCTGGTCAACCATGGTTTTATGGAAAATGAAGTTGACATCTTTTTTTGACATTACAAGTTAACTAAACTCTTGGTATATTGTGCCAATCATTTGACTTAGTTCCACATGTCATCTATTGTTGCACATACGAAATGATTAAATATGGTTAACTCATCTCAAAGTAATTGCAATCTCAAATCTACTAAATTGTCATGGCCAAAAATTCATCTAGGCATAAGGCATTTTCATGAGTCTGGAACTGGTGTATTTATGTATCTCAAGACCCAGAAATTATGCATTGCAATGACTCATTAAAAATGTTAATCTAGCATTCTCTGAATAGATCCAAATTTTATCCATGAACCATTTTTGTGGATTGCAGACTGGATACAGATGAGTTAGGTCTGCATTCTGTTCCTCCTGCTTTATGGCCTTGGCTAACTTGTTTCACTCTTGTATTGTGGTTTGGATGTTTGACAAAGCCACATAAAAGCAATGTGCTGCTATGAACAAATCTATTTGCTGACAGTGTGTGTGTGTGTGTGTGTGTGTGTGTGGGAGGGGGGAATAGAATTTTCCCCCCTTCATTTATCTTGTTTCAAATTTACTCAATTTAATATGCTAGATTCCTACCAGTCAAACTGATAGTTTGACAATGTTCCTTTAGCATATTAGGTGAGGTCTCCATGAATAGATACCTTTGTTAAGTGCTTAGATTACACTTTTTTATAGCAAAATTATGTTAGTTGTACAAGTGCAATAACTCATCCAAAGGAACTCTTATTTTCAGATTCCTGAAAGAACTGTGAAATGCACATTAAAACAAAACTTTTAGTGCACCAGTTTCACTAGACTGTGATAAACAAGCTCTGTTTTGATTTAATCAAAATATGCAACCTTTGATGTAAGGTTATGTAACTTTTTTTATTTCATCATTGCCTAAAGTGCTGTTGGGTTTGAGTTGTATAAATTAGATATCAGTGAATTAGAGAGCATATGATAAGCCATATCAGGATGGAAGAAACCTAGTGGGAAATTAGGAAAAGGACAAGGAAGAGATCTGACACTAGCAGCCAGTCAAACAGAGATCCCTTAATTATATTCTAAACCCAGCAGTTTGATGTTGGGAGTGGGTTCTGGAACTTTTGAATTCTAAACACTATTGGATTGAGCTGATACGGAAATAGAAAAAAAAGGAATTCCTAAGAAACTGAAAGCCTGGTGCATGTGTGATCCATCCCTGCTTGTTGTGGTAGTCTGTGTCCCTCTATTTACTCTCTTGCTGGGCTAGGTGCCATGGGTCTGCATTAGAAGCTCATATGCTAAACTTGGGAGGTCCCAGGTATGATCCCAACTGCTAACAACCAGAGTCTGCTGGCATTATGTATGCAGGAAAGATGTAGGTGGTATGAATTTAAACTGATTATGTTGGTATCCCAAAACATGCCCACACATGGGAGTATACTGATATAATTGTAGCTGAAAAACTTCCAGTGTAGACAAGACGTGTGTGTAGGCAAGGGCATGCACTTAGGTTATACCACTTTAATTAAACCAGTACCATTAAATCAGTGCAAGCCCTAGTGTGGGCATAGTTTTCCCATTTATAAAAATGCCTTAAAATGATGTAATTTACTCCACTACCTGTAAAGGAAAGCAATAAGTTTTATAGTGATATAATTGTGTATACACCGGGGTTTGAACTAGTGTATATATATATTTTAAAAACCCACACTTGTAATTGAAATAGTTACACAGAACCCAAATGATATGTTGGTCAAGCTGAACATTCAAACAGCCAGATATTTAGCTGATTATAAATGGGCAGAATTGAATTCAGTGAAGCTAGGTTTAAGATCTAGCAACAGGCTAGAAGGGGAAGTGTTTGTATCACCCTCATGGATGGAACCCCAAGCATAAAGTTCTGTTCATGAAAATCTTGACTCTCACAGATCATAGTGTGAAGCTACTGAAGTTTTAAATTAAAGTTGTTTTGGTCTTTATGTGGACATCTGCTTTTTTTTTTAACAAAGGTGAAAAGTTAAATACTAAAAAGAAACAGGTGCCTATAAAGCAATCTGTAAAAGTGGTAAAGATCAAATTTTGACAACACTTCTTTCATCTTCATTTCTGA